ACACACATCACTGACACACACACCACTGACACACACACACCACTGACACACACATCACTGACACACACACCACTGACACACACACACCACTGACACACACATCACTGACACACACACCACTGACACACATACACCACTGACACACACACACATCACTGACAGACACCACTGACACAGACACACATCACTGACACACACCACGGACACACACACCACTGACACACACACACCACTGACACACACACCACTGACACACACATCACTGACACACACACCAGTGACACACACACACCACTGACACACACACCACTGACACACATCACTGACACACACATCACTGACACACACACCACTGACACACACACACCACTGACACACACACATCACTGACACACACACCACTGACACACACACACCACTGACACACACATCACTGACACACACACCACTGCCACACACACATCACTGACACACACACCACTGACACACACATCACTGACACACACACCACTGACACACGCACCCCACTGACACACACACACATCACTGACACACACACCACTGCCACACACACATCACTGACACACACACCACTGACACACACACACACCACTGACACACACATCACTGACACACACACCACTGACACACACACCCCACTGACACACACACACACCACTGACACACACATCACTGACACACACCACTGACACACACACCCCACTGACACACACACACACCACTGACACACACATCACTGACACACGCACCACTGACACACACACCCCACTGACACACACACACACCACTGACACACACGCCACTGACACACACATCACTGACACACACACATCACTGACACACACATCAACATCGCTGACACACATCACGCGCGCGAACAAAATTGCGTTTCAATCCCACACGTCACGGCATTAGAGAGATTCGCCGTTGTAAGCAGAGGATGAGGCTGCTTTAGCGTGGCTCTGAGAGCCCTAATTGGCCGCTAGTGCTGAAGGATGCACCGCACAACCTTCAGGGAGCAGTATTAATGGGGGGGGTACTATGATGGTGCTGATAGCGCGAAGCGATATAAAAAAAATCAGAGGCAAAACGCCGACACGGAGCGATCAGGCGCAGGTGAAACGGGCGGATCTCAGCGTCCCAGTGTAAGATTGCGCTCCTAACAGGCACGGACACATCGCTGACACCTTATATAATTATCGGGGACATCCATATAATCATTGACGACAAATGCACACGCACACACCCATCACTTACACACACACATCACTGAAACACACACACACCACCGACACCCATGTAATCATTGACGACAAATGCACACACACACCCATCACTTACACACACACACACATCACTGAAACACACACACACCACCGACACCCATGTAATCATTGCTGACACAAAGATCCCCCGTATAGCCTTCAACAGACTGTTAGGGCAAGTGCTGTTCAGTGCTCGATGACGACAAAACAAAGATACCCCGTATAGCCTCAACAGACTGTAGGGGCAAGTGCTGTTAGCGAGCACCTATGAAGGCCGGCGCGGCACAAGAAAAGGGTTGGGTAGCCAGCAACACGCCCGACCGCCTTTGTCTCCCTGGTGGCGATGTTTTTTTTTGTTAACACACCGCACCAGATATTTATTTGAGGATTTAGTTAACCGTGAGCGGGAATCGAACTCGCGTTTGGTCGTGGCTGCCGGGTATTCGAAGCGCAGCGCGCTAACCGCAGCACCGCCACTCCCCACACACACGCACAGACACCATCACAATTACGCACGCGCGCGCACGATGCTAACGCGTAATGTGCACATCACCGGTGGATACAGACTCTCTCCATTGACACCCATGTAATCATCGGCGACACACCAACACACATACTGCGAACATACACACGCACTTCGCTGAATTGCGCACGCATTCATCAGCGGCGCACGCTTATCACTGACGCACACATTCATGGTACACACACTGGCACACACACACAATCATCACTGGCACACACACACATTCATCATAGACACACTCATCAAAGGAAACAGACACTTCACTGACACCCATCCATAATCGACTGCGACACACACACGCACCGGTAAACACTCATTGTTGAAACACACACACACGTACACACATTACTAGCACACACAGACACACATCACTGGCACAGATACCCCTACAATCATCTGCAACACACACGGCCGACACGCATACACACATCACTAGCACACACAGACAGACATCGCTGACACCCATGTACTCATCTATGACACACACACACAGTCTGGCTGGTCAGTACGAGTTGGCACAGTTTGGGTGAGACTGAGGTGGTGGGAGCCAGGAGCGGTTACACATATCGCTGATGTTCAACCTTCACCGGGAATCGAACTCATATCCGCCGGGGTTCACGTGGCGCGCTATGAAAACCCACAGCGCCACCGCTCCTCCCGGTGCAGCTGACATCACACACGTGGCCACGCAACAATGCTGCCGCTCTCCACATCACGTAGTAGACGTGCGCTCAACTTCCACGGCTTCGTCACTCGCGGAATAGCTGTGCCGGGCGGCATGTCGTCGTGGTGACGACACCTGCTGTGCACGGACGGTCGCCCTTACAAACACAACATCACGAAAAGCCACCCCAACCGCCGGGACCTCCCAAAGCCGATTTAGCTTCCGAGGTCTGTCAACGCACGGCGCATTCGCGGAGATTGTAGTCGTCGCGGACCGATTGCAGTCGGCATGCCTCGAATGTGCAGAATGCGAATGATGTGCGGTGCGTGAGACTGCCATTCTGTGATCCTTTCGGAGGTAAAAGCGCAGCCCTGCAATTGCCTTGCGCGAAGCCACCCGCATGTCGCGCCTTGAACATTGCGACTCAATACAGGACAGTATACGTACAGTCTTTGTCTTGTATCCCCCCCCCCCGCTCGCTCCCAACCGAGGCACATATCTATCGTACTGTGGCTGGGGGCCCATCGATCATTTCGTGCACAGCAACGCAAGGGCATGTTGCAGTAGCTACGGATAAACAAACACGCACTCTCGATAGCTGACCGTCTTCGGCAGTTCTATACTGCATCTGCAGGAGTGCTGTACATGACTGATGATGATCGGGTTTCCCTGTATGAGCATGTAACGGATGATGATGATGATGACGACGATCAGTTATGTACCACCGCTGTATATAACTGCTGATCATCTTCACCCATTATCTATCCGCTGCTGGATGAAGCGAGTAACAAGTGCCATGTATTTACCAAGGAATGGCTCACCGAGTCTTCAGGATCTCGGTCTTCAGGATCTCTTTCACATGAGTGCCCGACTGACGTCCATCAATTAAGAAGTTTGGCTTCGTGCGGAGGGAAAACCCGCAGAACCAAGAGAGATAATCCACCACGCTGCGTGCACGCTTGCATCTCCGCACAGATGGATTCAAAAAATTGTTGCTGTGCTGCCATCTCCTGGACACCTCGCGGCATACGGCCTGAAATTCCTGTGGCATTCCAAGCGAGTCTCTCCGTAAATTAACGAAACCAAGCGCAAACCCCTCTGATTCGCTTCTGAGATCTCCGCGAATCCAGGATGTGTGGTTAGAAACACATCGAAACCCACAGCTGCGCACTAAACACGCACACCGCACAGCCAACCCGACTGACAGACGCATCCACCGTTTTATACTTGTCCCGTGGCATATACTTGCTCCCGCCATGGCAAAGTGGAATTTCCAACCACTGCGATCAGAAGTCGCCAATGCGGCCGAGGAAAAGCGCCGCTTAAGATTCACACACACGATGTGGATCGCGCGACAGCGTCACCAAATTACATGTTGCATTTTATATAAATACATACTGCCCTGACATCGTATTCATGATAACCCTGCAATATCCACGTGGACGGCTAGACTGTTAGCGGGCCAGCTAAGAAGGCCGGCACGGCGGGCGATGGAAAATGCGGTGGTTCGCACCACGCCCGGCACGCCTTTGTCTTCCGAGTGGTGCCGACGTTGAAACACCGCAGCCGGTACTTTACTCATTTGAGACAGAATTGACCTCGGGGAGAAATCGGGGCCGGGTCAAATATCGCTCGCCACTGACGAGGGTTTTCCACGACGAGACCCGAGCTCAAGTCGTCGGCTGGGTTCGCAAGAAGCGAGATGACGACTCACGGACCCAGACACACCACCGATGCCACGCCAACACCGACATGAAGTTAAACACGTAACACGAAACGTCGTAACGCATGCGTGCACTAAGCCCCCCCCGCCCCCTCGCCCCCGACTAACGCACTAACCCACATACAACACGCGCGCACGTACAACAATCTGTGCTGTGAGCGAGCATCTTGAATATATAACGTCAAAGACGAAGATCTCCTCACGTGTATCCTTCAGCGTACGCCCGGGGCAAGTGCAGTTAGCGATCGCCTATGAAGACCGGCAAGGTGTATAACACGATGCCTGGCCGCCTTTGTCTCCCCAGTGCGAGTGATTACACACCACACCATCGGGCACTTATTTAAAGGCTGACTCGATCTAGGGGTGGCCCGGGACCCGTTCCGATAGTCGCCACTGCTAATGACGGTGGTAATCTAAGTCAAGATTCTGGGCTCGCAGCGCGCTAACCACTGCACTTTCGTTCCCCCACATATACAAAGACAAAGATCCCCCGTATAGCCCTAGACTGTTGGGGCAAGTGCTGTTAGCGAGTAGCACCTATGAAGTCCCGCACGATGCACGAGGGGATGGGTGGCCAACACCACGCCCGGCCACCTTTGTCTCCCCAGCGGCAATGTTGACACACCGCACAAGCTACTCATTTGAGGCTGAGTCGACCTAGGGGAGGCCCGGAACCCGGTTCAGACCTTCGCCACCGACGCAAAGGCAAAGATCCCCCGTATAGGCACAGCAGACTGTTGGGCCAAGTGCTGTTAGCGAGCAGCACCTACGAAGACCGGCACGCCACCGGACACTCACTCTCACCTGTGTGAAAGCGCACGGTTTGAGGAGCCGTCGGAGTACAGGTGCAGTCACAGCGCTGTCAGGCCCGGCATCCCCGCTCCCCCCTCTTCGTCCCTAATCACGGCCACAGCAGCCGCAGTAGCAGCAGCAGTAGCAGCATGGTACCGCTCACTCACGACACGCGCACCCTGCGCTAGCAGCATCTCTCCTCCTACCCCCTTTCCTCTTCGCCCTCTCTCGCTCTCTCTCTCTCTCTCGCCCCACCAGCTCCCTCTTTCTCTCCCTCCCGCAGCTCACTCGCGCGCTCTCTCTCTCTCTCACTCCCTCACTCCCTCCCTCTCCCCATCTTACCCCTCACTCCCTCCCTCTCGCTCTCTTCCCATCTTACGGCTCACTCCCTCTCCTATCCTCCATCCATCCCTCCCTTACTCGCTCTTCGCTCTCCCTCCCTCCCTCCCTCTCCCCATCTTACCCCTCACTCCCTCCCTCTCGCCTCCTACCTCTTTCTCTCTCTCTCTCTCCCCACGTTACCCCTCACTCCCTCCCTCTCGCTCTCTTCCCATCTTACGGCTCACTCCCTCTCCTATCCTCCATCCATCCCTCCCTTACTCGCTCTTCGCTCTCCCTCCCTCCCTCACTCTCCTTCGCTCTCCCTCACTCGCCCTCCATCCCTCACCATCCCTCCAAATTCCTCACCATCCCTCCTCTCATCTCACCCCCTCCCCCTCCTCTCTCCAGCCGCCCGAGTTGCACTACGCCCGCGGATTATGCGCTTACAGCTCCGAGGTTAGAAATGCGCGGAAGTTCTCATCCACAACCCGAAGAGGAGCGGACGAGGTGGACTGCTGAAGTGGCCCCATCGCGCACGCCACAGTAATTACGGCGGACGATGTCTAAGAGCACGTCAGATACGCCGGAGGAGTGTGTTAAAATAATGGTGATGATGGTGACAATGGAGCTTCCGCTGCTTTCTTGTATACATGCTTACGCGTAGCACTTGGGAGTATTCTGTTGGATACCAATAAATACATCGACTCCAGTCCTGTATCTCCGCTTGCAATGTTTTCCCAGTCTACACGCCTGTTGGCCATCGAGACTCGAGCCAGCAACACTTAAGTACGCAAGCTGTGGATCGGTTTCACTCGTCTGGGTCTCATTAGTCCCACGGTGGCAACGTATGAACTACCTCGCCTGGTATACAGGAGGTCGTGGGTTCGATCCCGACCCTGACGCCTGCTGTCATTCTCGAGTTTACGTGTGTCTCTCTCTCATCATCATCATCACGGTGGCTATGAGATGTGAACTACCTCGCCTGGTATACAGGAGGTCGTGGGTTCGATCCCGACCCTGACGCCTGCTGTCATTCTCGAGTTTACGTGTGTCTCTCTCTCATCATCATCATCACGGTGGCTATGAGATGTTAACTACCTCGCCTGGTATACAGGAGGTCGTGGGTTCGATCCCGACCCTGACGCCTGCTGCTGTATATCTCGAGTTTGCGTGTCGCGTGGATTGTTCTCGAGACCCTCCGGGTTTCCCTCCGCATCGAGAAACTTGCGTTATTTGGCTGATTTAATTTAATTTCCACATAAGCCCCTTCGTTAAGCTATCCTTTGCTTTTGAAAAAAGCGACCTGGCTAATCGTTTTTGAAAAAAAATCGGCATGGGCCTTACCTAGTAAAACAAAAATTTAAGATATTGTACAAAAATATCAAGCAAGGGTTAAGCGTGTAACCACTTCAAACGCGTCCTGGGTATATACGCAAGACAATATCAGCTGCATGCACACACTGGCTCACGTGGTGGTGGTGGTGTGCTAGTTTCAACCTTGTGACTCGGATCAGCTGTGTGAGGCTTGTGTGCAGCTATGCACCTTACTGGGTGCGAATATGCATGGAAATCTCGGCCGCATGCACACTGGGCTCACGTGCCCAGTACTGCCGCACTCAAGGGAAAACTCATGAAAAGGGAAACCACCACAGAAGATTCCAACGGAATTTCAAAACGGCGTGAAACGTGACCTCACATTGAGTGTCGATGAACGGTTATGGAACTTCATGAGTAATTCATAAAATAATAATAATTCTGGAATTTCACATGAAGGCCGTAACTGGCGTGGAATTTATGCAGAATGTTTGTTTGTAACGGCGGGGGCCCTCTATTCTTCCGTCTCCAGGCATCAAACATAAAGACAGACGCCCGGACAATATGCAGCGGTGAGATTAGTCAGCATGCAGGGAGGGAGGGAGGGGGGTTAGGGTCGAGACGAATCGTCGCAGCGTTGGTGACCGACAGTCGATAGACAATGACATGAGTGTACGACTGCGAATTTTACCTTGATAACACATCGGCAACTCGACATTTTCAGGGCACATTACAAAGACACGGGTGTCTTTGACTGCCACAGCAAGAGCAAATCTGGCTGTGACGGTCCCACCTGATGACGGAGACTTGTGTTGCCTCCGAAACGTCGTGCTTTTTTATTATTTTATTTTTTATTAATTTAAATTTCATTTTTTTACCTACGTGACTTTACCGAAAAAACTAAGAGTATACAGCAAGAGCTGTTCGCGAGAACATATGAAGGCTGCGTTTTGGTTGAGTTGACCTCAATGGGACATCCAGGCCAGGCTCCGTTAAAGATGACAGTTATGTTGCCACTGTTATGCAATTTGGTGCCACTGGGTTTGAACAAGGAATTCATATTTACATTAATAATACATCTCATGCCAATTGTTTGCCGGGGGAAGATTCAGAATCAGAATCTTTATTTTAGACTGGAGAAATCCGATGAGCTGTGAAGCTCTTTTTCACAGACGTCCAGCCGGGTTGGGTCAGCAAGTTGCAACAACAAACAGCGGGGGGGGGGGGGGGGTATTAACGACATGAGTGCAAAATAGAGAAAAGGTGAGCAGGTTACGAAAAATTAATTAATGAAAAATAAATAAAGTATGCAAGACATTACACACCTCAATCGCACATTAAAATTGGACTATCGATGGACGGGTAGGGTTCAAAGTTACAAATCAAATTTGCAAATGTGGTTACATCCAATCTGCTTCAGGATGTTTTTTTCAAGGAAGATGTTTAGATGCTAAGGGAGGAAACAAGGGCCTTTACCAAAACGTTGATTGCTGCAACGGCAAAAGGCTGTGTCACCGATTCCAATTCTCGTGCTATCGAGAGTTAAAAGGCAATTAGATGAACGTCTTAGGTTTCCTGGGTTTGACAATTGGCTTAATGAATTAACTAAATATAGCGCTGATTTGCCAATGAGGATTTTATGAAGCCTCGAGTCTTATATGTTTATTTCAGGAGGCTCCTGCTACATTTGTACGTTTTACCAATCCCATTTAGCGGGCTTGTGGGTATACTCCATGGATCTATAGTGAATGAAAATACCCTTTAAATACACACACTAAGTATGAACCTCAGCTATAAATACATGCGCAGTGACACGCATACCACGTGCATTATTGCTAAGCAGAGGGCCCATTTGTGGAAACGTCACATGTTTTTTACATATATATATGCCACCTCTTAGGCCAGTGTGATTGACCAATGTGTTTACTTGTTATTGATACGTGTGCTTGTGCATCACTGCCGTTGCCGTGTGACAATAACGCGAGTTTCATTATCAGTGAGCGGCGGGTAGCGAGTGGCTTGCAAGAGAGGTGGCCTTCTCGAGACAACTGGATCCTCGCTTGCAAGGGCAACGGCCCTTCCGCGGACTGAAGTAATGCGCAGACAATTATGAATTCAATTGCGAATTCATGCAAGGGGCAATTCAATCGCGCCTCCGAATAATCGTCATGTATTCGAAGCCGACGAGAACTAGCTGACACGGCCGGTCGTGACATCACAAGATTTGAAGCTCTGAAAAATGTACTCCTGATGTCATAGCCTGTGGATTGCTGCATCGTTCTGATGGTCGGCACACTGGACTCGCAATTCCTGAAGCGGGAGTTGAAACAATTGGGATATTTCCTCTTACTGGTAGGAACCTCCAGGTTAGACCAGCGCACAAGGGATTATTGTGTCCGTCTGTCCGTCCGTCGTGAAGGAAGGGGCTTGGTGGGGAGGGTGGGAAGAGGCTGGGTGGGGAGAGTGGGGCTGGGTGGGGGGTGGGAGGGATGGGGCTGGGTGGGGAGGGGCTGGTCACCCCGTGGTGCCCTTATAAAACTCAACGTTTAACCTACTCACGCCGGCTTGTACCCGCCCTCACAGTCGGGCATATTTGCGGAATACACCACGCCACCGTTGACCCTGGCCATTGACCGAGCAACCCAACGTTCTTACCAGCTCCCTCCGCAGGAATGTGTTTAAAATCCCTCCCGCCTCTGTCCACCTGGCAGTATGAATGTGTTCACCACAGTATTAGTAGCCTGCTGGGGGTAAAGTGTGGGTATTTCCACCTCCGCCAAGACTATCCAAGCGTAGGATAGGCGATGGGTTCGATCCCGACCCTGATGTCTGCTGTAATATTTGGAGTTTGCGTGTCTCTCTCTACCCGTGGTCCGCGTGGATTTTCTCTCCTGGCCCTCCGGGTTTCCCCTCTAAATTTAGAATCAACGTGACCGCTATAAATGTCCACGTGATGGTAAGCCGACTTTGTTCATCTATCATGTGCGATGGCCAGGTTGCTTCTGAAAAATAGCAAAGTAGATCGGTGGGGCCTTACCTGGTAAACATTTAAATAAACTAGATTTGAAGCTTTCGTGACTGCAAGGATTCATATTCTTGGGTTTTTTCGGTAAAGTCACGTAGGTAAAAATTTTAAATTAAAATTAATAAAAGTTAAATAAAATAAAAATAAAAATCACGACATTTCGGAGGCAACACAAGCTTCCGTCTTCAGGTGGAACCGTCACAGCACGCTCGTTGTATCAAGTAAATGAGAAATTCCAAGAGATCCGACCCCGTATATATACTGGTTGAGGGGGGAGGAGCCAGAGCAGGCCCCTGGATAGGAGTTATTTATTATTATGGTAAGGTTGGTGCGGCTGAAGCTACGGCTAGTCTACATAACAAAGGACTGAGCCTTTGTTATGTAGACTGGCTGAGAGGGGGGGGGGGGGGTGCCAGAGTTGTTAAAGTGCGGCTGCTGCTAATGGAAGGGGGTATTTTTTGACAACCTCTTCCATGCCGGTGAGACGTCTTGGAAGAGGTAGGATTACCCACACCCATCTGTTTTACACTCGACCTGTGAACCTGGCAACCCGAGTTCGATT